GAGGCCTATCTTTTCATTTTCAGCTGTCAAACAGTTTCACCAAGTAGGGAAGGCTAAAGCCACTCAGTTCCCTGCACCCACACAAAATGGAGCAAGAGGTCCCTTCCTACCAGGGCTGTTTACTGACTACCTTCTATGTACCAAGACGCCAGGCTACTCAGGTGCAGCAGCCCAGGAAAGGTATCTCTACCATCCCATCTAACAGGCACGGCAAGCAATTAGCAAGACCCATAGCTCATGCTTTTGGTCTAAAGCCAAAGCATGCAGAGGGCAGCAGGATACTTGAAGGCTGAAATCTCAGGGTCACTGTATGTCTGTGGCAGCTGTGGCACTTCTCAGAACCATAAGCCCTCAAACAATGTCATCATAAAAGCTTTCCTGTCTCTCCAAATATGGTCAGCCCACACTGCCCCCCAATCCTCTAGCCTCATACTTACAACAACGCTGGGCAGGGGAGGTAATAAGGCAAGTATGAGACCAGCAGCAGGTCCTCGACATATCCCCTAGACAGAAAAAGGACCTATTAATGCTACTCCGCCTTAGAGGATATCTTGGTGCACTTTATCAGGAGCAAAGACCTTCCAATGGAGCATTTGGGAAGAAGCCCTGTCACTCTAGGGTTGTTGACTATAAACGACAACACCTGTATCTAGCACAGGGCCTAGTGTGTACTTGTCTTTTTGTTCATATGGCTATTCACTTATGGCATGGCTATGTCCTTGATGCCAGGTCCCACACATAAACAATAAGGAGGCATGCAGTGCCAGTAGCTCCCCACAAGGCCAACGGGGTGACTTCAGGACCACGCACAGTGTTCCTTATCAACATGGTTTGAAGGACAGTCTAGGCAGAAAACATGGTAAGTTAAAGGCTAGGAAGCTAACTCAAGGCAAAACATAAAAGTCTAGCTGGGGCTGGAGGATCCTGAGACTTGAGAGGTTGATGGGACCTAGGAAACTGTATGAGTATCGAGGCTTAGGGATGACATTCAGAGACAGGGAGGAGTGCTGTGAAGGGCAGTGAGGAAACTCAAAAAGGCAACTCACCACAGGAACCAGAGACTTGTGCTAGCAAGCAGGCAGAATGCTAGGCCCAGGGCCAGTCTTCGGCGGGCCATCACTGGGTGCTGAACAAGAAGCTTTAGAGACCCCTAGAACCTTGGCCAACCAGGTACTTCCCTCCCAGGTCTGTCTGACTTGCAGCCTCCCTGTTTTGAGGTCTCGGAAACTCCTGCAAAGAAATGCTTCAATTAATTTCCTCCTTCAGCTGACCTCGGGCTCACTGGGGAACAATGCCTCAGTGCCCAGTGACAGCTAGGATGTCTCCCCCAGGCATTGGTCTGTCCCATCATCAGCAAAAGTGAGTAAAGGGCCATCTAGGATCAGACTCTAGGATGTCTCCCCCAGGCATTGGTCTGTATGTAGGGTAGGCTCTGTCCCATCATCAGCAAAAGTGAGTAAAGGGCCATCTAGGATCAGACTAGGATCAGAAATTATTCCCCGTGACCTCAGTTCCTGGAATTTTTCTGAAAACAATTCCTGGCCCCCTGGGGGAGGTGGAGTCTAGGCTCTGTAGGATACAGCAGAAGGCACTTCTGCATCTTCCCTTCAAAAATCTCGTGCCTGGTGGTTTTCCACCGCCAAAGGTTATGGGAAGACGTGATGACGCTACAGGTCACAGAGAGTGCGGTGGACCTGAAATCGGAGAAAGTTCCCAGGCCTGGGGTCCTGGGAGTTAGGGTTCTACATACTCCATTGTTTCTGCAAATCCTTTCTCTCTTTCGCCCTCTGAGACCTGAGTTTCCCTACCCAGCTCTCCACTTCCCCCCTCACTAGCATCCAGCTCAAGCCGGACATAACTGTTTCGCAGACCTAAGTCCAGATGCAAACCCTGCAGGTCCAAGAAGGGATTCAATTCCAGGAGGCTGGGGTTGAGACACGCACCTGAACTTTGGCCCACTTGTGCTGACTCCAGGACTCACTCCTCCTCAGCGACTGCGGTGGGATGTGGTGCGAGCCGGGTGGGGCAGAGTAGGGCGAGACTGTCTTTGGAGGTACAGAATCACTCCCTTGGGGCTGACCGGCGTTAGGACGGAGGGAGGAACTCTTCCAACTAGGAAAACAGGAACTGGGCGACTCCCTGTGGCTCACTACGACCCTACACGGGGTGGAACCCGGCAAAGCTAGCGCGGTTGCGGTTGCGCTCCTGGTCTCTGGGGCCTAGCAAAGCTTGAGTCCCACCCATCCACGCCCCTCCCACGCCCTCCCACTGCCTGGTGAGCTACACTCGAGCCCCGCCCACTGGCCTCAGCCTTGCACTTCCTGTAAGGAGAGAGTACAGGGACCCTGCAAGTGTTGTCTCTAGCCGTCTAAATCCTGGCCTAGAATGCAGAGCGTCCATCTCATAGGCAGGGTTCGCAGGTCCTACAACACTGGGTTTCTCCCCTTCTATCCTCCCTTCTAGCGGAGTCCTCTGCATCCATCTGCAGAGATGTGAGACACGATACTGGGGGAAAACTTCTTTCCAAGTAGTCAAGGAAGGGGGGAACCAGGGGCTCTGAACCTGACCATGCCTCTCAAAATCTCCCAGAGGCCCCGTGTCTTCCTCAGTCCAGTTGAGTGGCCAGGCTTCCTTCTTTCGCCTATCAGTTCCAGGAAAGGCCTCCCTCGTCCACCCCAGGGTCCCAGGAAGGACTCAGTGACATGTCTGATCAAGTACCAGTTGTAAGGACTCAGACATTATGCTGGCCTGCCCCTGTCACCTGGCAGAATGCACTCAGGCAGTACCATGGTCAGCCCAGGGTTCCATGAGTATTACTCTGCAGGCAAGTGTAAAGGACCCTTTAAAAGACAGACACCTGCTCTCTTACTGTTCTTTCTGCTCTCTCTGCTCTCCTCTCTTTCTGCTCCTGTTTCCTTCTTCTCTCCTGTCCTCCGTGTCTCTTTATCTCTTTTCTCTTTCCATCCCCTTCCCTCCCCTTTCTAATAAAACTTCTCACTCAAGCTCTGTCTGCCTGGCTTGTCCCCACCCCCACCCCACCCACCTCGGTCACCCTTGCCTGCCATGGAATCCGCCACGGTCCCCCACGCAGGACCCCCTTCCAGCTTTATCCTAACATTGGTGCAAAAGAACAACACCAGCCAAGCACCACCAGCCAAGCAGATGGATGCAGAGGACTCCGCTAGAAGGGAGGATCGAAGGGGAGAAACCCTGCACATGAAGAACGGATTTGAAAGATTGATGCTCAGGGTCACAAAGCAGCTTGAAGCGCTGGCACCTCTGCCACAGCCCTCCAGCTCAGAGCAGTTAATGAGCAGCAAGTGAGGGAGTCTAATAGTCCAATAGGTCAGGTCAGGAATGGTGGTCGTGAGTTTGACCAGGGAGGGACACACTACCAGCATTCTCCAAAGCAGCCAGGCAGGGTGTTATTTAGTAGCTGATATGTGGAGGTTAAGGTCTGAAACAAGAGATGGAGTGACCATGAGCATAGAGGTAGAATCAGTGTCATCCAATATGGAAGATGTTAGGGGGGTAAGAATCTTTGATGAATGTTGGACCACTTCTACCGTGTCTATACCTAGGGATTGAGAGAATGGGGTGTGTACCCTCGGTAGTTTCATTGGATAGCTATGAAAAATGCTATAGTAAAGTTTACCAATGACCACTGTCTCCCATCTGGGCTGCCATGGGTCCTTAATTACGATATAAAAGAGCCCACATTCTGCAGAAAAAGAGACCACCTTCCTGAATACACAGCAATTGTCCTAAGGGACCAATAAGGGCAGCCTCCAGAAGTCTCTGGCCAAAGACCAGAGTAATCTCTAGTTTGATCATAGAGAAAGCAAGCAAGGGGAAAGGTGTTTAGGAAGTTGATTTAGGCGTTACAGGGACAAGTGTCTCCTTTTGGCAACCTGCTAGTGAGCAGTCTCCAGACCCCACCACAGTAATGGTCTGGTTGAACCACTGAGTATAGGTTTATTAAACCTTTGAAACCTTAATATAGCAATAGCATAGATGGGAGAAAATCTGAAACATTTTTTCATTACCTTAAATCACTTTCTTATACCTTCAGAACTTTCTTAAGTTGTCCACATCCTCAGACCTTTATACACTTTCTTAGACTCTCATTGCTTGGGCTGGTTTCCACCAATAGTCTCTCCTGGGCTCTCTTTAGGAACCTCAGTCCTGCCACACAGTGCCAAGTCTCATTTTCCTTCCATGTCCTTTTAAAACTAATACCACCTACGTGACTTTCTGTTTTGCTTTTCAAGACAGGGTTTCTCTGTGTGTCAGTCCTGGCTGTCCTGGAACTTGCTTTGGAGATCAGGCTGGCTTCGAACTCACAGGTGAATAAGGGAGTTATAGGGAATTGGATCAGACTTTTTAAAAAATTTGATTGGTGTTTTCCCTGTCTGTATGTCAGACCCTGGAAGTGGAGTTACAGACAGTTGTGAGCTGCCATGTGGGTGTTGGGAATTGAGCCCAGGTCCCCTGGAAGAACAGTCAGTGCTCTTAACTGCTGAGCCATCTCTCCAGCCTCCCTGGATCAGCATTTGACAGCCTGCTATAGAGCAATTTTCCAGCCCTATTAGCCAGGCTGTTGATTAGAGGGGAGGGTCTCTTTTGGATGATAAACATCCATAGGTAAGAAGTACTCCAGACACGTGTAGATAGGAAGAAATAGAGGAGGAGAGAGCAAGTTTGTTTGTGTAGTGGCAGAAGTTGCCACCATTGAAAATTGAGCATGCCAATTTTGGCCATTGAATTGCACTGAAGCCAAGCTATTTATAGTAACAGAGCAAGGCTTAAATAAAATCTGAGTCTGTGGAGGAAGAGAGGAAGGAAGGGAGTTTTAGAAGCTCCAAGTGTGAACTAAGAGAGGAGAAAAGCTCAGGAGGGCATAGAAAAGCTGTGAGATTTCCAAGACAGAGTAGAGCGACAGAGGGACAAGGTTGCAGAGGCAAGAACAACTTAAGGAAGCTGCTGGACTTAGCAGGCAGCTCCAAGGGGGAGGGGGCAAGGAAACAGGAGGGTTCCAAAAGAGGGAGAGGAACAAGTAAGTGTCTTAGTAACTAGAGAGTTGCCCACGTGGTGGGGCCCCAGAGACTGTAGAAGGCTCGAAGAGTCAGAAAGAATATTTGCCTAGTAGGCAAGGAAAGATGGATGGTTAGAGCAGGTGGAGAGAAGTGGCTGAAGAGATAGACTCTAGAACTTGGAACCAAATATAATGGGTAGCAGAAGCCAGCAGAAACAAATGATCCACACATACCTTAAGAAAGTCAAAGTAAAGGACTTTAGAATTAACAAAGAAATAACTAAGAAGAAAAACAATCCTCTCACCCTAAGAACAGGGAGACCTGACTTAAAACCTAACCAAGGTCACAATGACCCAAGCCCCTGGAATTTCTTAGCTGGCAGAAATAACTCCCTTACAAGGCCACAAGACAACCTAACTGAATACCAAAAATTCCTAGAGGGCCACCCTGCCCTAGGGTCATGAAGATAAAAACAGACTATCCCACTGAGCCAGGAGACCATCCGGCCCCAAAGATAAGAGATCTCCAAAGGATCTGTGACTCTGGTCACGTACCCAAACCCCTAAAAGCCTATGTTTTTTTTCTCCTATAAAAGGAGCCTGCTTTAGAGGAACAGGGCTTTTCTTTGTCTGTCGGACTGGGAAGCCCGTTTGCGCAAACGTCCCATAATAAACTTACCTCTTGTTTTTTGCATCAGCTGGACTGGACATTGAGTGTTTTTGGGGGGATCGTCCAATT